GCTCTGAACCCTAACTAACCCAGGGCTGGTCTGCAGGAGCGCGTCTCAGGGCTCTGCTCTGAACCCTAACTAACCCAGGGCTGGTCTGCAGGAGCACGTCTCAGGGCTCTGCTCTGGAAGTTCGAGGTCCCTTCCCATTCCTGGCAGCTTAGGATTGGATGAAGAAAATGAGAAACAGCTTTTTACAACTGGAACTTCAGGGGGGTACTCCTGAGCCCTGTGCACATGCAGGCTGATGGCTCTGTGCTGCCCTGACAGGTCCTTGGGCAAGGAGCACAGGGAGCAAGTGACTTTGGTTGTCTGGAGGCAGGCATCCCCAGCATAGACACCTCAGAACTGGCGCATAGTCCTTGTTAATTGGTAGCCATGAGGCTCAAAGTCCTGCCCTGGTCTCCAGAGGCCTTCCATTCAGTGCCACTGGTGTGCTAGAAAACGCTTAATCACCAGCTTTCAGGGGTGGAGGGGGTTGTGCTTTGTAGCATCTGCCCTTTGCTATGGGGTAAATGCTCTGGAATCCCCCATGGGGGAGGTAGGGGAGACACACACCGTCAGCTCTCATAAGCTGGCCTGAGCCCCCAGCCCCACCACACGTCATCCCTAAGTATCCCAGCCCACTTGTCTGGATACCGTTGAGCCTTTGCTGACCCAGTAGAAAAGGCAAGTGTCACTGTTCTTTGAAGAAGTGCCTGAGCCTCACTGCATCCCAGCCCAGCAGGGAGCCAGTGGGCACCACTTTGGCTGGGACCCAGGGCTCTGGTTCCTCAAGTTGTCAGAGCAGCCCATCAGCTATGGGGCCACATCATCACAACTCCTGCTTATTAAGGCCCCTACTCCAGGCAGTGACCTGCATGGCCATCAGTCAGGTGGGTGGGAAGTCTGTCCCCATTTTATAGATAAAAAGCTGAGGCTCAGGAGAGGCCCCTTGTCCAAGCTCACCAAGCCCCAGAGGCTGGTGACAATCACCTGTGTCCTGAGTCTTCCAGCTCCACTGCAGCCTCTGCCTCACTGGCTCTGTAGGACAGTGGCCTTGTCTGAGGCCTGAGAGAGCTACCATGTCCCCAGCCCCAGCCTATGAGCTGGCCTTGCCCTTCCCCTGCAGCCCGTGGGCGAGGCTGTCTCACCCCAGCCTGTCTCCTCCACACTGCTTCTGCTTAGGCCTCCCTCCCTTCATCAGAGTCTCCAACCATCAGGATTCAGCTCTGGCTGGAAGGCCCTAAAGCCAGGCCAGCAGCTCAGGCCGGGGACAAACGGTGAACCTAGACATAGACTGCCTATTCCACTCCCGCAGGCCAGAAAGATGGGAGCGGAGGCCAGTCCCTCCCCCCTGGGGGCTGCCTGACACTCCCTCCCTCCAAAAGCAGCTGTCCAGGTCTGTCCTGGTACTTAGCCCCTCTGTTGGCTCCAGCCTCCCAGAGCCCAGGACAAAGGCCATGTGGTGGGTATGGGGTCGGAGGAATCTAGAATAGGGACAGGAGGACGGGCAGAGTCTGGGTTTCAGGAATCCCTCCACCACCACCCTCTGGGCAAAGGGTGGTGGGAGCTCAAGGTTGGGTCTGTGGCCCAGGAGCCAGAGGGCACTGGCCTTGCCTGCACCTACTTCTGACAAGAAAAGCCTGGTGCTTCCAAAGTCAGACTCATTCAGAAAACAGCATGGCATAGCCAGCAGTCATGTGTCTGTCGCCCCCCTCCCAGCTGACAGCCCCTCCCCACAGCCCAGCACACTCTGCAATGCAGGGCGCAGCCGCAAACAGGACTCACCGGCCCACCGCAGGGGTCGCGGACGTAGCCATAGGCGATGGTCTTGTGGATGGTGAACCCGAAGTCCGCCCTGCGGATGTGGCCCACCATGTGGCCATCTCTCCAGATGGCCTCCAACCCCAACATGGGCACTTTCCTGGAAGAAGCAACGAGACAGCTGGGACCCCAGAAACCCTCTGGTGCACACACATCTGCTCCAGCCTGGAGGACACAGGGGCTAGACTGCATGCATCAGACCCCCCCCTTGCTCCACGAAAGCAGGGCTGGGCTGCTGGGTCACCACTGACCCCAGAGCCAGCCCAGCACCCAGCCTGGACACCAGGGCACAGGCCTCAAGTGAACAAAATGAATGAACCAAAAACATCAAAGCCACGATTGGACAGCAGTGTTTCTAGAAGCTGGGCACTTTCAAGCCAGCCCATGGCAGCATCGTCGAGCACCCTCACACCTCGCTCCCCCGATTCGTCTTCTCTCTCAGTGAAGGGCCCGTTATTAGAAGGCTTCCTTCAGTACATGGCACATATGGCTGCTCACGGTAAAATTCTTGGAAATTCAAAGTAGGAAGACAAAGAAGTAAACTAGAATCTCAGGGACGCCAGCACCAGGATCACTGGTGTCACTTTCCTGTGTGGCTGGTCATTTTGGCCTCAGCTGTGGGCAGCCCAGGCCGGGCAGTCCTACAGAGGGACACGGGCCGGGCAGTCCTACAGAGCCGATGCTGTTGTCATCAGAAAACGGACCTGGCAGGGGCTCCAGACCCACCCAGGGTCCCAGGGCAATGCAGCAGGACCACTCTCCACCACTCCATAGCCCCATCTTGTCCAGTCTCCTCCAGGGATCCTGCTGGCCCAGAGCTGTGGGGCTGCGGACTATCTCACAGCCTGACACAGAATCCCCAGCAGAGCCCACAGGGAGGGAACATGTGCGAAGGAGGCCACCCCTGGAGCCAGGCTGTAGGCACATCACAGAGGGTTGGACGTTGGGGCCAGGTGGGCTCCTGGGAAGTGGACTAACAGTCATGCAGAGAGGCACAGCCTGCCAAGGGCCCAGAGGGAGGTATGGGCCAGGGCAGGACCTCAGTTCTGCTCTCTTCACTCCTAATCACTCCCCACACCTCTCTAGAAGGGTCCAGAAATCTGGGGGAAGCACCCTGTGTGTAGCTGGCTGTCAGCTGCGCATCAACAAATCCCCAGACTCCTGACCTTTCCAGATGCTGGTGGCACCCAGACCCCTGAGGGAGCCCCAGATGGTGCTCTGACACCAGCATGGCATTTTCACCTCAGAGCCACCCGGGAGCTGAGTGGAGCCAGGCTTCCGGAACCCAGGGAGGCTCGGGCCCAGCTTTCATCCACAGGCTCAAAACCACCTTTCACTGGGCAGAGCAGAGTCAGGTCCCCTAAGCAAGCCTCTCCTCTACCTCTGCCATATGGCACCTGGCCTCCTTGGTGACAGGGATGGCAGCCCCAGCCAGGCCCCTTTCACCCCCACAGGGCAATGGGGATTTAATGGGGAGTAGGCTGGGAGGTTGCAAGGCAGTGACTGGAGCACCAGGCTCCCTCCCAGCTTGGCCAGGACCGAAGGGGGGCTGGCATGGCTCAGGCCACCCTCCTCTTCCAAGGAAGAGGACCCTCTTTTGAGGAGAGCGTGCATTCCCCATGGCCTGGCCCCTGACTGTCTGCCCCTTGCCTAGCCTGGAAGGATCCTGAATGTACACCCTTAGCTTTGGAGTCAGACAGGCCTGCCTGGAACAGAGTGGGATGTGGAGAGACAGTGTGTCATCCAGCACCTGCTCAGACACCTTACTTTCCCCATCTGTAATGGGCTGTTGTGTGCACTTTGGGAGGGGGTGGCTGGCTCATAGGAAGTATCAGTACTAGGGGCCTTAACCACCGTGGGCAGTCACCTCTGGGCAGCCTGGGACAGCAGAACACTTACTCTTCCACGGTGAAACACACCAAGCGCCGGCGAAGGCCCGAGGCCCGCTGCTTCTCCAGGGCCTCACGTCCCAGGAAAGGCACAGGGGACTTGAGCTTACAGGTAAAGGCCAGGCCTGCCTCCAGGGGACTGTCATCTGGCCTCAGGTCCGCATGCCAGTGCCGGTAGCCTGTAGCAAGGGGAGACTACTGGTCAGTGCCCAGCTGTGGGGGAAAGCCCTCCAAAGACAAGGTAGACACTGCCCAAACCCACCCTCCCTAGCCCCACATTCCCCTCACCCAGAGCTGCTTGGTGACCAGTGCAGCCCAGGCATTGGTGCCACAAGGCTCCTGGGAGACCCTAAGCAGACCACCCCATCAGCCCTCGGCCCTCCACAACCTCAGGCTGAAGGCACCAGGGAAGACTTGTGAGGGGGCTTGGGTGGCACCAGTGGAGCCATCCCCATCTGTGGGGTGAAGGAGTGGGCTTCATCCAGAAGCTCTGGCACCTGCTCTGACTTTCTGCAAATCTCCAAGGGAATCCAAGGTGCTGAGTTCAAATCTAGCCCTGGCCCCACCCCCAGGGTGCCAAGCAACACTTCAGTCCTTGAGTCTGTGGGGGGGAGGCCATCCCAGCACCACCTCTGGAGCCTGGCACAGAAGACCCAGTTTCTGGGCAGCAGTGAGTGTTGGGGAAATGATGGTGTCAGGGGTGGCGGGTACGGGTGATGGGAGAGGCTAACAGCCACTTTGCCTCCGGGTGGCTGGGTGCCCCCAAGTGCTGTCCAGACCTCCCACTCACCTTTCTCGATGCTCAGGGAGTCAATGGCTCGATACCCTGCATTGACTAGGCCGTGCCTGGCTCCCGCTGCCATCACGGCCTGGTACACAGGCACGCAGGACACTCTCGGGATGTGCAGCTCCCAGCCCAGCTCTCCCACAAAGGACAGCCGCATGGCCCGGACCTGGAGGGGACCAGGTCACAGCTTAGACACAGCAGGCTCAGATGACTGAGGTTCAGGCCTTGCCCCCCCGATCCCCAGTGGACAGTTCCGGCTGTCACCATCACTCTCAGCTGGCATGCCAGCCAGATCACCACCCAGAATGGAGTCTTCCAAGCAGAGTTCATCACTCAGCTGCTCTGGAAGTCTAAGGTGAGGAAGGGGAAGCCCCACTGTGCTATAGGTGGGGCTCACAGGGCCTTGTGTCCCTTGTCTCTAGGGAGGGAGAGGGTGGGTTTGGGCTCACCGTTTACAACCTCAGATCTAAGTGACTGTGTTAATTTTTTTGTCACGACCAATGACCACAACTGGGTGGCTTAAAACATTGGAAGTTAAGTTTTAGTTCTGGGGTCTTAAAATCCAAAAGCAAATTGTCAACAGGTCTGCTCCCTCTGGAGGTCCCAGGAGGATCACACCTGCTCTCTAGGGAGGCCCCAGTGCTGCTCAACTTGTGGCTATGTCACTCCCCTGTGAAGCTCTGTGTCTCTTCACGTGGCCTCCCCTCTGTGTCTGAGTCTCTTCTCTTCTATCTTTTACTAGGACAGGTGTCACTAGATCTGGGACCTACCCTGATCCTGAATATTCTTATCCTTACCTTAGTAACAACTGCTAAGATACTGTTTCCAAATAAGGCCACACGCACAGGGTCTGGGGAGTCAGGATGTGGGCGTGTCTCTGGGGGCCCCACTCAGCCCACTGCAGCGACCCCTGGCAGAGCTGGGTGTGCCACCCCCTCCCCTCCCTATGGCCTCACTTTCCTCATTTGTACAAGGTTTTCAGGAGCTCTGCCGGGCATCCTGAGAAGCGCAACTCGTGGGTCTCCCAAGCTGTGCGTTGTGGGCACAGAGGTGTCTTGGAGGAAGCAACCCTTGTGTGAGTCTCTGGTTCTAGAAACTGATCGCCCACTAGTGTGACCAGCCTTGGCCAGGCTGGGATCCCAGGACAGACACAGCCTCTGTGCCCCACGACTAGAGCCTCAGCAGGACTCAGCTAGAAGCACAATGTGCTGTGCACAGGCACTGTGCTGGGGAGCAAGGCTCTCCAAGATGGGAGGTGGAGTGGGAGCTCGTGCCTCAGACAGGTCCCCCAAGGCAGGGAAGAGCAGGCTCCGGGCACCGCACTGGGGCTGCAGATGTGGCTGGAGGCAGGAGAGAAGGCTATAGATGGGGCTCACAGGGCCTTGTGTCAGGCTGGGGATATCTGACTGTGAAAGGCCTTGCTTGAGAACTGAGTGGCCCACACCAATCCTGCAGAAATGACGGTGCTGATTACCGTGTGTTGATGGCTAAGCTCTCTCTTCCCAGCCCATGCAGTGGTGGGGACCACTGTTAGTGATGCTCAGGGCTAATGCCAAAACAGGCTCCGAGGGGCCCTGCTTCTGGCCTGGGCACACCCAGCTCTGCCAGGGGCAGCCAGTATCTTTGCAGGGGGCATGTGTCCTATACCCTGGGCTAGCACCAGCATGAAAGCCACTACCAGCATGGGGTGACAAGCTGCCTGGGGACGTGACCTTTCCCACACATTTGGGTTGGGCACATTTCATGAACACACCCAGCAAGTGGAGCCCCCTTCCCCACCTTCGGGCAAGTCCTCAACCCCACAGAGTCCCCAGGGGTGATGCCCAGGTGCTCAGCCCCAGGATCGCCGAGCTCACAAGAGGATCCTGGAGAGCTCAGCAAGTCACAGAGAACCAACAGTGGAGGGCAGAGCAAACCTGTGCCATGCAGCTCCCCCAGGGTAACATCTGTGCAGGAGGAGGGTGCAGGCCACTCTGCCAGCACAGAACCAGCCCCTGACATGCCTGGCAGTAATCAGATTGTGCCAAGGGGCTGGATTCTAAAAGCTTTTGGAACAATGTCAATTTGCTCTGAGTTACCATTTGCCCAGGCCTCTTAAAAAACTAAAAATTGACACAGAAAATGTACTGTTGACATTTCCCTGCTTCCCTGGTGCAATCCACAGGCCCCTGACAAAGATTGCCTTGTCAACGGGGTTCTAATTTCAGAGCCTGTGGAAGAGCCTGGGGCTCAAAGCCTATCATATTTTGAAACGGGAAAAATAATTTTCAAAGCATGGCCCATAACGACCCCACAACTGCAGATTCCTGTTCAGACACACACTCCTGACCCAGCTAAGGGAGAGGGTCAGAGTTCACAGGTGGGATGGTGCTGTCTCCACTTCCCAGCTCCCATCAGCTCAGGGAGGCCAGAGTGTCGGGTCTTCACAGGGAAATAGACAATGAAATAGAATAGAGAGAAAAAAACCCTCATGTATGATCAAAGGATCCCTGACAAGGATGCTAAGACCACTGCAGGGGATGGACAATCTCTCCAACAAGTGGTGAGGAACTGGACATCCACAGGCCAGAACACAGCACGGGACCCTTATACCATACCCCCCAAATTTACTCAAAATGGAACAAAGGCCTTCCCCAAAGATCTATAGTCATAGAACCCCTAGAAGAAAGTGAAGCAGAATCAGAAATGGTGATGATTTTTGTCAGAAGGCAACAGAAGCAAAAACAGACAGATGGAATTGCACCCAACATAAACATTTTGTGTATCAAAAAACACTAACAACAGAGTGAAAAAGCAACATAAGAATGGGAGGAAATATGTGTGAATCATAGATCCAATAAGGGTCTTTATCCAGAATAAATTTAAAAATAGCCTTACAATTCAACAACAACAACAACAAAATCAAATACCCCATTAAAAATATGGACAAAGCACTGAATAGACACTTATCAAAAAAAGAGCTAGAAATGGCCAAGAACCATAAGAAAAGATGCCGCACTTCTGGTCACCAGAGAAACACACAGAGACTCTTCCGGCATTGAAGGGGGTCAGCCATGGGCTCTCACCGTGAGCTCCAAACAGGATAAACAGAAATAAGGCCCTGCCTAGGAAACACTGGGGTGCGTGTGGACGCCGAGCGAGCCAGGAGAGAGGAAGAGATTCCCAAAGCCGCCGCTCAGACCAACTCCCACTGTCTTGCTGGCAGCACCAGATGCTTTTCGAAGCACAGAGCTTCCGCCATAGCTGCCAGCTAGAAATTCAGGTGCTTTAAGTGTGAAAACAGTCAAGGTGATGTCAAGACTTTTCCCAGAGCTTGTTAGTCACGATTCTGGCTGAAATATGCCATACAGCAGTGGTTCTCAACCTTCCTAATGCCGTGGCCCTTTAATACAGTTCCTGTGGGTCGCAACCCACAGGTTGAGAACCGCTGCCGTAGAGAGTGTCCTTCAGCCTCCAGCACCGGAGGGCCACACCAGAGCAGACCCTTGGCTGGGTGGAGGTCACCCTGGGATGAGGAAGACCCAGGCGGGGGTGGGGGGTGGGGTGGCAGGACGGGGCCCTCTGGAGCTCATTCTGCCTTTTGTTTGGAAACAAGTGCTTGAACTCTGATAGCAAAGGGTGGGGCTAAAGAAGGTCCTGCCCTCAGGCGGCTGTCTCTGCTGCAGCATCCCGTTACCAGCACCCAGACAGCTTAGCAGGTGAAAGGGGGGAGCCTGGCCCTTGAGATGCAGGCTGCTCCTGTGGGCCTGCAGACTGAGGGCTTCTCCCAGGGGACAGCACCCAGGTGGGGACTCAGAGCCCCACGGTCGCCTAGTGCCATCTTCCCAGTGGCCAGTGTTCTCAGCCAGCAACCTGGAGAGGAGCAGAATCACTCCTCAAGCCAAGCCCACCACACTGCTGGTTGCCAACTATGGTGACTGCCAAGAGGCCATGTGGGGAGGGCCTGCCAACCCCGGCTGGTCTGCAGTGTCATGTGAACATTACTGTGGTCCTTCTCCCTTTCCCACACTCCTTTGGAAGGTTCTAGATGTTAGACTCCTTGGCCCTGGAGGAGTTCTCTGGGGTGCCTAAGGGCGAGAGGATTCCCGCTCTGCCTGTCCCCTATTTTCCTCAGGCCAGCAGGGTGGCAACAGAGTCAGAAGGGCAAGTGTGCGGCCCCTCTCCACTCTGGCTGCACATCTCTAGGCCCTTCCCTCCGGCCTCCACCATAGGGGTCAACAGGTTCAAGACTCATACCCTGCGAGGGTGTCAGGACTCAGGACAGCAGGGCACTTGGGCGTGCTGAGTCTCTGAAGCAGGGGGCAGGCCTCTCTGCCCTGCTCCTGCCGTCTTGTCTCCCACCTCCCAACCAACTCACAGAAACTGGAATCCCTCTCCCTATTGCCCACCATAACCCTCGAAATAGGGCTCCTACCTTCCTCACCTTTCTGTGTAGCAGCTGGCCAAAGACAAGTACCCAGACCTGCCTCATCTGATTGTGGGTCACAGACCCTCCATCCAGAGGGGTCTGCCCCACACCCAGGAGGAAGGACACTGCCCAGAGAGGCCAAGAGACTCTGCACAGACAGGCCTTACCGGTGCCCCTCGGTCTGTTACAGTCACATTTCTAAGGCTGCCTGTTCTTCACGGACCCTGAGCACAGGGACAGACAGCTGTCCCCAGGTCTGTGGGTCCCCACTTCTGAAGGCTCCTATATCACGTTAAACTTTGATTATATAAACTTGTTACTTCACTTTTCTCAAGTGAACCTGTCTTTTGCTATAGGAGGGTTGGCTGTGACCCTGACAGTAGGACAGGAAAGGGATTGGTCACATCCCTTCTGCCCCTAAAAGGACAAGATTGAAATCTAGAATAGAGTCATTGTTGGAGGCCCCACGGCTACCAGCTCCGGCCCTGAGCATAGTAGATGGTAAGCAAAGTCCACTTGGTTCCACCCTAGGTCACCTGCTCCAGACAGAAGTGGCAAACCCAGGGCAGGACAAAGCTTCAAACCACCCATTCCACAAACACTCATATTCTGACATCCTCCTGTGTCCCAGGCTTCAGCCCCTCCATAGTGCAGGGAACGCCGCCGGCCCCGGCACTCACAGCAGATGCAGGATAGCTGAGAGGTTGGGTCACCCAGCCAGAGCAGGCACCAGAGTGGCCGAGGGTGTGGGATTTGGG